GCATAAATAATTCATTTGTAAGATACACGTACATCTGTTAAATCAGTACATATAAATAGAAGGTAATATAAAAATATAGTGATATACATATTATTTTTGGAAGCCAGAAGAGGTAGTTATGAAAGCGAGTCAGGAAATTGTTTTATTAAATTACCAAATAAAATTAAGCAAAATATTTATAAATATTATATTATAACTAACGGAATAAGAACACTGCAAAATTCTAGTAGCAGTGTATTTTTTAATATTATCTTGTAAAAATAGACTGTTTCATAACATAACAATAGTTTCATTATCATTAATATACAATATACAGTCAAAACACTAGTAATTACCAAGTTTTGCACACAAGACAACATCAAATTCAGCCATATTAGTCCTTACGACGGCGTCCAATAAAAAATACTTATTGCTTGTACACGTAATATCTCAATATATAAAAAATAAAATAACACACTCGCACATTCATTGTCCTGGTCCCGAGCTAGGGCCTTACCAGAAACAATGATGGCATTATGCCGCACCCAGACTCGAGATGATCATTTGGGCCATGCAAACAAACATTTATAACGATATGGGAATCGAACCCGCAATCTTTAGTATGTAGGCATCTTAACTACCGCCACTTAACGAATCCTCAACATATATGTCTGCTATACTGCAAACAATCTCAAATAAATTATCTTTATTAATTATATTAATGATTGTCCATAAATTATATATTATTATCATCTGATATGTTACAGATATAATAACGTTATGATTCTGATCATTTACATATTCTCGAATTGACTTACGCTCGCTAAAATAATCGAATACATGCTGTGAATAATCGAAATTTCGAACTGTAAGCCAATTTTCCCATTACATGTAAGAGAAAATATAAAATACTCTATCCTATGGGGTATTTGGGGTTATATGAGGATTAAATACATTTTTACATCATATTCAACCATCAACAATATTATTTAAACAATTATTTTATTTGTATTTAGTGCGCATTATTGTGAAACACATGCAGAATCTATACACTCATTTTAACATGATATTCGAATAATGTGTCACATTAAATATTATATAAATATATTTCACCACTATACATCACCAACACTTTTAAAAATAAACATATTATATTTGCTTACATCTCATCTATTTAATCACATTTGTCAACAAAGTCTTGCTGAAATAAAATTAAATAAAATAAAAAACATATTCTTCGTCAATTTTACATTAGTACCTACTCGCTTTAATTTGAACGTAACATAGAAATATCGACAAAAATATCGACGTATACCCAACACTACGTCACTCAAACTATTTCTAAGAAATACAATTAAAAATGAATGATCAATCAAAGAACGGCGTCCCCTAACTCAATTGGCCTCGTTTCACCTATTGATAATTTTCATTAAATCTCAACAACTTTGGTCTACCATTCTATTAAAAAATTTTCAACATTGGCATAGTTTTAGCTTTATCTCAACTAGCATAGCCAATATACTTTTCACTTATATCTACTTCTTAACATTAATTTTACGTTAATTATACGCGTACTGAGACCAAGAAGCTTACGAGTGATAACAATAATAGAAACTATTACGATGATGACATCATCATTCTTCATCATCACTCATCACTTTGCTTTTATCTATCGAATTAAATATATTTACTAGAATAACGATCTTCAAAAATAATCCGCGAATACTAACAAGAGTATGTGATTTAGTACATTAGTTTGAGACTAGATGGCGCTGAAAAATGCTTTCGATGTTATTTGTTTTTTTTTAACTTTAGTCTCTGCATAGAAGCGCAGATATGTCGTTTAATTATAATATAATAATAAAGATAGTCACCGAGCATATCTTTAATAAAAGTTGCTAACGGTTGCCTGCAATGGTTCTAAAAACGAAGAGCTTGAAAAGCAATATAAAAATTACTTTGTTCAAAGTTGGCAAGTTTTCCGCCTTGATATGGCACCAGTCAACCATAGATTAAACAGAAAATGTTATAGATATAGAACTCCATCTAAGTTATTAGCTGTAATGTATTTTACGTTAAATACTAATATAGATATAATTAACACAATGAATATTAATACCGAATAATTGTATAATTTTCATTATTATTAAAACTCGCCGCAATCGTTTAATTATTAAAAATAAATTTTTTAACTTATAACAAATTATTTAACCTAATAATGTGAACTACCACTAGACTTGTCATTCATAACACTTTAGATTCCTAAGTAATATCGAAAATACATGGACTTTGAATAATATTTTTATACATTCATGAATAAAAAACGAACGAAAGGTATTAAAATTTGTTAACCAAATCAAATTAATAAATCTATACCTACAAAAGATTGTATTTCCAGAATAGGTAGGAATGAGACGAAAAAAATTATAAAATTTCTATAAATACTAAATTAATTTAGAATATTTTTGAGGGATTCTTTCTTAACTCCTGTTTAGATCTCAATTTAAGGACCTCTTATGGATTACTATTGAAAAATAATACACGTCGTATTTATTTATCTATTGTTAATGGAAATTTTTTATTCCCTATTTCCTTACTACTTATTCTGAGATGACAAGTCAGTTCTGGCTATGACTGATTGCACAAGCATTTAGCTTGTATATACCTTTTTAAACTTTAGTCTGTGCATTGAAGCAAAGATATCAGATAAGTCAGTCTTGACTATGATTGCACAAGCTAACTGCTTGAGCTACATCTTTCAATTAATAAAAATAATTCACACATTACTTACGAATCTAAAAAACGCATAACTATTTTTAGTAATTTAAAAAATAACATTATAAACAGATTTGTTAACATAAAAAAATATATGATCATCTTATATAAAAATGGCGACACTCAATCATTTCGTTTCGAAAACTAACATTGAATTCCGACTAAAATAACAAATCTTTGAATTATTTTTTACATATCTATTTTTAACTAAAATGGCAAACAAGAACGGCACACCTAGTGGTAAGAGTCAACAAATGTGCCAAAACATCAAATATCCAAAAAATTCCTCTTGCGTTGAGACTAAAAAGGAGAGGACTAAAAAGGTATGCCTTAGGTAGGTATACCCTATGTTTTAGTGCCATATCTCAGCTTATCCGAAACAGCATGCAAAGAAGTTGCTTCGCGGCTGGTTGAAATAGGTAAGCAACCACTATGATGACTTAGTACAAAGTCCTCTTCTTTGTAATTTTTAACGCCAAGAGTAAAAATGTGATAAATGGAGTGTTGAATCGCTATTTCAATCAGAACTCTACGTTAATTCTTATTTCAAACCTGACCATAAAGAATATTCTTTCTGGAATATATATTTTTTGCTAAATATACATTTTATTTAAGAAATATAAACACTCGCTGTTTACATGAAGTTTTTTTTAGGAACAGTTTATTAACGCTGATTTCATTGTTACAAAAATCATAAACCAAATGAAACAGTTTTTCTTCCTTCAATTTTAATTTTTAAACCATTCATAAAATAAATCGTTTTTATGGATTTAATTCTTTTTATAAAGCTCTAATAAATATCAGAGACAACAATATGGTCAGGTTTTCTTTATTTTTAACACAATAGTTCAAATTATAAAATAAAATAATCCAACGTACCACTGACGCAATTCGTTAAAAAAAATTCAAAATAAGATTGAACGTAACATACCTACATTAAATTTAGATTTTGACTAAAATTTCACTTCGTAACCCAAAGAAAAGCTATCCCAACCAGCAACCATTGAAAACGTCTACACACGGTCCTATAACCGGCAAATCGTGGTAAATAAGGGTGGTAATATACAGTCGGTTACTATTTTTCAACGAATAACGTTCCGATGGACTCCGATTGGCGCTTTCGGCTTACCTAACGACTGACTGTATATTACCAGCCTAATGATAATGATTTGTTTGCCTCCAGACGAGGCGATCTTTGAAGCGATCTAGAACATTAATTAACACTGCTCCTATATCGCCACCGACTTTAGAAACGTGTGTAGACGTTTTAAGCTGTATATTCACTAGGCGACAATTGGTATACAATAAGTTTGCAACATGTTGATATATTTCATTATAAAATTTATAATTTAGAAAATTCGACTTTGTAGCAACACATTGTAGTCGATTTTCCAAAATTTTAAGTTATATAGTTAATGCATATTATTATTGAGTGTAATATTGATGCGCGAAGACATACGATCTCTCTGAAGCCTGACAATACTTTTTTATGTTACTGGACTTTTGGAGCAAATAGAGCTATTTGAATGCAATTCAAGGTTAAAATTTTAGCAGCACGTACTATTTTGTAGTGCCACGTTGTATTTTTTTATAGAATTGGAGTGGTAAATGAGGTGACAGCCCATCCGATAGTAAGTGGTAACCGTCACCTAGACACACGAACCTCTACAGACGTCATTCATGCGTTACTATTTCGGAGGACTAAGATGTCATACTTGAATCAATGAGACATCTCGTTATGACGTTCTCTTGTAACTACGGGGCTTACAAAACTCCAGGTTGCACAGAAAAATATGGAGGGGTATATCTTAGGAGTGAGCCTGCGTGACAGAATCCGAAACATAACCATTAAAACCAGAGTTATTGATGTAGGATACCGGGTAGCCAAGCTAAAATGGTCATGGACCGAACATGTATGCCGTCGATACAATGGCAGATGTGTGGATGGCCCCAAGTGTTCCTACCAAAAAGAAGTGTTCGCATTTCCCAAACATAACACTATAATAATAAAAGTTATTGGTGTAGAATATCGGGTAAAATAAAGCTAAAATAGTAATGAACCAAATGTATGTTGCCCGATACGATGACAGATGGAGCAAGTGCATTCTGGAGTGGAAACCCCGTAAGGTTAAGGACCACCAGTCAGATGGTACAATAATATAGTAACCGTAAAGTAAACTCTGGAAGACTATGGCACCAAAAAGCCATGAACGTGGAAACGGATCGGAGAGGCATATGCAACGGTGGGCTACCCCATGCTGAAGAAGAAGATCATGCTTCCGTACCCTGTAATTTAATTTCAACAATCATCGCCTAGTATACACAGCTTCATACAAAACACAACAACCCTACTTAGTTCCGGCCTCATTCCATCGTATCGTATTGTACCTTTTTGACCTTCAAGTAGCGCCATATAGCGTACCCTACCAGGGTGCCAGCTGTGGCTATGGCTAATGCTGCTCCAACTGCAACCGGAGCAGCTTCGGACCGGGCTCGTGCTGAGTCGGAACAGTGCCAGACCGGGCCGAACTCGCCGTTACGTTTGTACATGAACGCCTGGAGACGCATTTGACGGAGGTAGAGTTTCGCACGATGACCGGAGTTAGCGCTGAAATTAGCATGGATTAGATTATTTTATGTTGTTATTTTTAATTATAATAATAATAATAATCTCAGGAAAATTCACACAGCGACATCTAGCCACAATTTAAGCTAGCTAAAGCTTGTGTTATGGGTAGCAGATAACTGATACAAATACGTAGATTCTTCTTTTTTCGCGCGGACTCAGAGTCGGAATCGGACTTAAAGCGGTGTGTCCTAACCGCTAGACCACCGAGGTCATTAAATTATGAAATAACTTTATTGATGGCATAAAACAATACGACGGGGTAAAATAATACGACTTACAGAGAATAAAATACACAAAATAAAATGTTAGACCAGAGTAACATGTAGTCAAATTTTTAAAGTTGTTGTTTTAATGTTGTTGAAAGTTAAAATGTGTTTTCGCAAAATTTAAGACTCTTAAAAGTAGGATTTTTATCAGTGTTTGCTTATTTGTTAGTGCTCTGTGAATTGTCTAAGGTTCTTATTTTTTAACTCATACTCAAAGAAATCACTATCACTTACTTGGCATCTTCTTCAGCTAGTTCTACTACTGTCTCGTCCGGACAACTGTAGGATTTGCCAACAGGCGTGGGGAACAGTAGGGACCTCGCATCGGTTGTTAGGGTCACCCTCCGGCCCTGCTTCGCCGCATGCTCCAGGATACGTGCGCTGGAGTTGTAACTCAACTTGATGTTTTCCACGTACCAACGTTCACCGCCAGGCGTCTGCAAGCAAGAGCATATAATAATCATGACTACATAGTATAAAACAAAGTCGCTGTCGATGTCTGTCCGTCCCTATGTATGCTTAAATCTTTAATACTACCCAACGGATTTTGAAGCGGTTTTTTTAATAGATAGAGTGATTCAAGAGGAAGGTTTGTATATATAATACATGTACACCCGTGCGAACCCAGAGCGAGTAACTAGTAATAATTAAAGCGTATAAACCCAGCAAAAGCTGTGAAAATAAAACGTTATATTACATACATTATATAAATAATTATCTCAGGACAATTTACACTGCCATATAGACCCAAGTTAAGTTAGCTAAAACTTGTGTTATGGGTACTAGATAACTGATACTAATACATAGATTTTTTTGTAAATATACTATATATACATACTATATTATACATAGTAAACACTCAGACCGATACAAACAATCATACTCATGAATACAAATATTTGTGCCGCGACCATCGAAAGTAAGGCGAAGTGCTAAAACGTTAGACTACCGAGGTCGTCAAATATATTTAATAATATTACCTACTTCTTTGTTAACCCTGATGGGGTTGCTAGAAGTATTATCAACTATCATCATGGTCACACCGTCGCGTCGTGATGTTGAGATAACGTTTCATGTCATAAAGTCATAACGTAAACTAAGACTATATGATTAAGATTTATAGTTCTTCTTTTTACTTCTTGAACCGTATGGGCATTGTTAGCAAGTACATCAAGTCAGGTTGACTTATAAGCAGTTCCACTATCGCAGTTAATTCCTGATAAATTTACCACGTTACGCTAACTGACCTGACTTCATTATCATCTCACACTGGTGCCCCGCCAGCGAATACTATTAGCAGGGGGAAAATGGATTATTAGTAATGTTGCCTAACCCTGACATTGGTCAGGTTGACCTCCACGTGGTTCTCCCTGGAAACCATCGTAGTAAATTCTCATTTGCTAAGATGGGCTAACTGACTTGCCTTAATGTTAAAAGTAAGCAAAGCTCTTACCTCTCACCCACAGCAAAGACAATGTGAGGGTTGTCATTCGCGTAAAACAGTAAATAACTAGATGATGACTACGTCATCGATATATACCGATGACGTAATCATCATCTAGACTCCCCTACGCCCCATGTCATCCAATGTAAGCAAAGCAAAGACCCCTACCCACCCTCCCCCCGATAGTGGTTACTATGTAATATTATATTATCTGTGGTGCTTACGTAATACTTGAACAGGCCCTTAGCACAGGCAGGAGCACAATTCCATTATCAGTTTATAACCCATTAAAAATGAAATTATCGAACTTACCTTGGCAAATGCGAATTGTAATGAGAACTCCTTGAAGGATAGTACCAACGTCTCAGCATCACCTTCCTTGCATCTGCCGCCCACATTAGCATTGTTCGGCACAAAAGTGTTTGCGTCCTGGAAAACACAAAACTCGTCGTATTATATCAAGGTTTAAAGAATTTGATGGAAGCTCGTGGAAAGTGGCAAGAACTCCACTAATAAGAGCGTCGCTCTTAAATGAATGAAATCCACACTTATATTATCATCAACAATCAAACTCATGAATACAAATGTTGGTACCATGCAAAGAATCGAACACGCGACCATCGGAAGTAAAATCGCTAGATCACCGAGGCCGTCTTATAATACAATGTATGTTTGTATGTACAATGGTTCAATGATCTTCAGTATACAGTATTTGGGTTATGAGTCATTTAAAAAGGATGTTGAGTATCATAATGCCGTTCATCATAAATTCCTCACATTATACACTTTAAGTTTCATACACAGCTGTATGTATGTCCCGTTATTGTTTATATCTGGTAAGATAACATCAAGAAACTCGAAAAAAATATTATAAAATTGCAATAATTAACATTATAAAGAAAATCAGAAAATAGTGTAATATAAAAAATATTATCATTTATTAATATATATAACCCAGGACATCCACACAGTGCCATCCTGTCCCATGCTAAGCAGAGCTTGTGTTATGGGAACTAGAGAACTGGTACATAAATACATTTATAACACACCGTTTTGCTTACGAAGGTCGCAAATTCGATTCCACGCACGATGCAAATTCAAATTTAAAAATCATTTATTCATGTAGGACATTTTAGCCGCTTATGAACGTCAAATTTTTACACTAATTTTTTTTTTCCCTACCGAAAAACAAATATTATTTATATTCATGTTTTCTTTGTATCAACGTGTTTTCTATATATATTGTGAATGTATTTACAAAATAATGTATCTGTGAAATTATATCTTTATATAGTTAAGTAAGTATAATAGTTTTAAGATATAAATGTATTGGCAATTAGAAAGAAAGAAAGATATTTTATTATTATATATAAATTATTTGTAAGTTTATGTATTTATATCAGTTAACTAGTACCCATAGCAGAAGCAATGCTTAGCTTGGGACTTAGGCGCTATGTGAATTGTTCTGAGATATTATTATTATATTACTTACGGCTGGAAGACAAAAACATATTACGCCGACCTCAAATAAATGGGATAAGGACAAAGCAGATGATGACGATGATGATATTACTTACGGCTCGTTCATTAAGCTTGGTGACGTAGGAGATGTCGAGTAGCGCATCCACCGTCAGCAGTATGCAGGTCTCATCTGCCGTCTGGAGGCGGTACGTCGCCGTCATCAAACTCCTCTCGGTAGCCGGCTCCTGGAACAACCCACACAACAATGTGACTGAACGACTAAAATACCAACAAACAAATAAAACTAATCGAATAAATAAATAATTAGAAAATTAATTTTATTTCTATAGTGGCAGCCTATCTTCGTTTAGTCAACTTTACTCAAAACTTTTATATCCCAGGTCGTCTGTAAGAAATTGCTTTGAGCGATAAGGCCGCCTTTTCGCATATAACAATATCACACATAACAACACGAAACATTGACTGCATTACTAAAATACCAACAAACAAATAAAACTAATCGAATAAATAAATAATTAGAAAATTAATTTTATTTCTATAGTGGCAGCCTATCTTCGTTTAGTCAACTTTACTCAAAACTTTTATATCCCAGGTCGTCTGTAAGAAATTGCTTTGAGCGATAAGGCCGCCTTTTCGCATATAACAATATCACACATAACAAAAGAAAAAATACCATTTTAGGCCCCAAAGGTGTACGAGTCAAATCTGGGCGACACAAAATTGAAAGAAAAAACGCGTAATTTCTGACTGACTTGCTCGGGCTCGGCCTCTGTCCGTTTGAATAAAATAGAAAAGAAATAATCTTTAGTCAAATAAACTTAATGCAAGAACTTTTGAATAGTCATATTTTTTATTCTACCGCTCATTCGGAACGACTTATTCCGAGAAGGAACATGAAACTTGTGTTTCTCTTATGTGTTATCCAATTTCCCAACGAAATATGGACATATCTGGACAGTCACCACACCGTTTTTATAAGTACATAGGCAAAGCATATCCTAAACGAAAAACGAATTTTGACTTTAACTTTCTACAGTTGATAACGTCTCTGACTACCCCACTTTATATACCAGTCGTGAAGATATATCAGACTAACCGTGGTGCCACCAGGCGCAGTGGTTGTTTTGCTGTACTTCGTAACCCTCGGCCTCCGCGTCGACGCCTGACTGTCCAACTGAAGGCTTTGTACTGAACATATCACGAGCACTGGAACAAACAACATATATGCTGAACACAAAAACACAAAAACGAGTGCACTTTAACAGTTTCCGATCATGAACAGCATCGCTCGGCGTCCAACTATCGTATGCAATAAGCGGCTGATTTGACAAGTGATGTACAATTTGGTTATAGTTTTGTTATCGATACATTATTACTTATATCTGTTAGAGATCAATGTTTATCGATAGGTCCTTATTATTGCAATTCATTGCTTGCGACCTACGTAGTATAAAAAAAATGTCTTGTATATTGTTATAAATATATATTTTATACATACAGTAGTGTATGCAATTATATTTTCCAGGAGAGTAGCAATAAAAACTTATAATTTCAATTCGTGTATATATTTCCAGCCTATATATTTTAATACATATAAAACTCACAAAACTATGAGCACTAAATTATGTGGACGAAGCCGGGCCGGTTAACTAGTGTAAAATATTGTCGATATTTACAAATGGTGTCACGCGTCCCCCCACTAACACAGTTGTGAATGGAAAATTATGACACTGGACAAACTGCTTATAATACAGATCCAGATCAAAGGTATAAATAACAATAGTGTTTATATGTGTGTGTATGTATAATAAGGATAAAAGATGCGATTTATAGTCATAACATCTCTTACATTCATAAGAGGTAAGATATTCATACCTTCTTCTACTCAATTATGTAGGTACTTTCAGGAACTTAGTTAAATACCAAGACGAAATTCTTATCTTCCGTTGTCTTTCTATTATTTTGGAACATTCATTTGTAATATGCTATTAATATGTTCTCGAAGTAACTCTCAAATTTATAATTTTAAGGAGAGCATGAATACAAACTACCAAATATCACGAACTCATTAGAGTGAAAATATTGAATATACAGTTGGTTGAAGAACAAACTAATCATTCGTAGTGATTAGAGAAAAATAGTTCTTCTTCTTACAAGTTAACTGAGATTTTAACATATGTAAATCTGTCAAAATAGGTACTATAGATAGATAGATACATTTTTATTTACATTAAAGGTACAAAAGAAATAATAAAAAATTAGATACACAATTACATTGGTCAGTCAACAAAATACAATACAATACAGATATACTATATATAATTCTATAATCTACGAGATTAGAGATTCAAATTAAGGTAATATACGAGGTTTTATCAGATTTCATGTTTTTTGGTACAAAGCCAAGTCCTTTACGGTTGAAAATCCTGGTTCATTTTTATACAAAAATTAAGTCTAGATCTAGAACATTCGTTAGTGAACTGCAAATGAAATCAGTCAGTCGGAACAGAGTCAGTGGTACGTGACTCATACAAATCGAGTTATACGAGCCTTGATGAGGAGTCTAGGGTTCGTTTTAATTAAATTTGTTTACTCGTTCTAGAATCTACCATACAGGGTGTTATCGATTATATCGAAGATAAAACCTATCCATGGCCGTACTTGTGATATAATCTAAGGAACTAAGTGTTACCTGCGACTTGGTATATGTGGAATTTAATATTTTTTGTTAAAATAAATAATGTATCCAAAATAAAAGTAGCATAATCCAACTTGCTAATAACATTGGCTATCTGCGAGTAAAAGTTCCGTCAAAATCGTACCAGCCGTTTCAGAGATTAGCAATAACAAACTTATAGCCGGACAAAAATGTTTTAAATACTTTTTAATGTGTTATATGTACCATATGTATATGCGAGTACATACGTTTACATACATATAGTGAAAAGTTGTTAGTTTGAAATTACAAACAGACAGTTTAATTTAATTTATTTACATTAATAGTATGCCTAGATATAAAACAGCACATCTTTTTATAACAATGAAATTAGTACCACAATATTACCAGATGTCTCGTGCGATAAGTAATTACTACAGACCGACCGGTGAACATTTTCAGGAATTACTTTCATCGTAATGGGCCGTGTAATGGGCCATTTCAGAGTAGCGTTTTTCTCTAAAGAAGTCTATACACGACACTAGTTGGCACCCTACTTGTTGGGTCGATTTGTGGATCTTAACAGTAACTGCTTCTTTGAGCAGCTGAAACAAAGACAACTCCTGGAAACGAAAGAATGAATGGATGGAGAAAGGAATGAATGAAAGAAGAGGATGGGCATCGCTCTCTTCCTCGTAGAATGCCATATAGTTAGGTCGTTTCATGTGTAGTAAATGGTTTTTTTTGTAATTTAAATAAAAGGAGTTCTATAAAATGACCATCCTGTTATTCGAGAATCCTCATTCCCACATATATATATTGTACAATAATGAATAACGGTATTGTATTTTTTTCTAATGCAGAAATTCTCTCCTAATACAACGGCAGAGTGCAAATTTGACAGACATTGTCACTGCAGTATTAGGAGTAAACAAACATCTGCCAAAAACGAATTTATTTCCAATTTAATAAATAGGAACAGACTAAATATATTTTAAGAATTATAACTCTCTCTACACAACGTAGGGAGGAGCTAAAAAAATATTAATAGGCAGTAAAAATTACTGGGTACAAAATAGTAATCGTATTCATGAACGTTTATTCTTCGCGCAGGAGGAAACATAACCGAGTTTTACATTTACACAGCGCCATCTTGTTTGTTTTACTGAAATTATCCTTATATATATGAAATGTGGTTTTGCACGAACCAACATATGAAAGTACGTTATCGCATCAGTATTTTTTTTTATGTTTTACGATTTCGCCCGGCAGCGGGAGTTAATTTATAAAACAAGTTTTACATCTTTTAAAATTGTACAATATATGGATATATACATATATACACAATATTTAATTAAGGACGTGTATCATTTTTATCTTCTGGAATAGTATAATAACACTTTTTTCTTCTCTCGTCTCTTCTGCTTGCTATGCCCAACAGGGTCCATAATTGATCTGCTGTGAATTTAACTACCTTTTTTTCTTGGAAAATCCTCATTGAGACGCGCACTACTAGGGGGAGATATACGTTTATTACCAGACTCTTACCGGCTATAAACCTGTTCCTTCTTTTCTTGACTTTTGTCAGGGTTACGGGAATGCGCAGTCTTCTGAAACCTCGACGGCGCTGGTCCCTTCAAGCAGACCCCTTCACATTTTGTGAATTTAACTACCAACTGCTTACTTTAACATTATGGAATGCAATGCTTAAATAATTAAATAAATCAACTATAATGTTGTTAGCTCCTGTGCTTATATTGCCATGCCCTTTCAGGGCGTATACATCTACAAGACACCATAAAATGACCTTTGAATTTTGGAACACAATACCCTACGATTAGACGTAATTACAATGCTATTTTGAAGTCCCCAGTTATTTTGGTTGCCGCCGTTATGACGTACAGCATGCAAACTACCCACACGCTACTGTGACGTCAGCAGATTCAATTTTTGATTGAACCCATTGTTCATTCATAATTTTCCTTTGTGGCAAATACCAACAGTAAACAAGGTTATAATTTCATTCAGTTATTATTAGTAGTGAGTGTATTAGGGATGTTAAAAATAATGTGTTATGGAATCAATCAATATTAGTCAACAAAATATCGATTGTTTTCAAATTAACCATTTCTTCATTTCATTCTGTCTAGTGAACCAAAAAAGATTAAGTGTTTACAGCAAAAAAATAGCCAAAAACACGACTACGAGCAGGCATTTATTGATATAAAATGTAGTCTATGGTACATCCTCGTAAAATAGACTATCATCGTGCCAAACATTAAGATCCGTTCAACCGTGTCTTCGTGAAAAGGTAGGAAAAAAACAGACACACTTTCTAAATTATAATATTAGTATAGATGTATACTTTTTATGTAAATGGAAACCATCTATTTGAGGATGGTGTCGGGGGACATACGAATAGTCGAGACTCGAGAGTTACGTTATGAATAAATCATATATCTTTAGTTAGTATAAAATAAAGTCGCTTCCGCTGTCTGTTTGTTTAGTTCTTTTTAACTACGCAACGGATTTTAATGCATTACCTATTTAGCAACAGATAGAGCGATTCAAGAGCAAGGTTTATATGTATAATACATGTACATAATTGCGAAGTCGGGGCAGATAACTAGTTGATAATAAAATACATTAATTTCCACATACATTATAATGACAGACAAGCTGACGGCGCATGTGATAGTAAGTGGCAACCACCATCTATATATCAGTGCTGTGCAATTTCCAATGGAACTGTACAGCGGTGATTTTTATTTTTATTTCATTATATTTTTATTTTTGTTGTTATTATTTATATTCTGTGCTTCATTTCAGTCTGTATTTACTAACATTAACTATAAGAAAACTGTAAGACCACAGTTTCTTAAAATGGGCGAAAACTTAGATATAAAATAAATTATTATTATATACATGAACTGCACGTAGTATGGACACCACATCGAAAAACTCATTGATGTATAGATCATATTGTATTCGAATTTTTGATAATAAGTACATAGTAATCTTTTTTGGATTCCATTTGATTGTAAATAATGGTAGCGATATTTTTTCGAATTCCATTCGATTTTCAAGTACACACTGATCTTTTTGAAATTTTATTTGACTCTAAGCACACAATGATCTTTACTTTGGAATTAAATTTGATTGAAACACTTTGTAAAGTTCAATGGTCTAATAAAAGGTGTGGGTTATGTGCAATGTGGGTGTAAAAATGTCAGAGCTATTTAATAGATAACTATTAGTCATTATTTGTTTTTTATTAGGATCTTAAATACAATATACCATAATCTGTAACGCATTTTTTTAACTACTTGTTACAGGCTTCGTAGCATAAGGCTGCTTCTTACACCTCTTTTTGAAATTTTATTTGACTCTAAGCACACAATGATCTCTTACTTGTTACGTTTTTGTCATATGTAGGTATATAAGCTATACATATGACAAAAACGTAACTGATCGCTGTCTGTACATGTACATCTGTACTTTGATAAGATCTCACAATATTAATACCTATAATATATGTTATTTAAGAGAA